CTAGCTTTGTGGTCCAGTTTAGCTATTTTTAGCTTCTAGCTAGCCTTCAGCTACTTTTACCAATCAATTTGGCGTTTCTAGCTTTGTGGTCCAGTTTAGCTATTTTTAGCTTCTAGTTAGTGCTCAGCTATTTTTACCAGTCTATTTGCTACTTCTAGCATTGAGGACTAGGTCTGCAATTTTTAAGCTTCTAACTAGCCTTTGCTACTTTTAGCTACCGTTCTTCTACTTTTAGCTTCCAGCAAGCCACATACTACTTTAAGCTACTGTGTTGCTACTTTTAGCTTCTAGCTAACATTTAGCTAATTTTGACAGTTTGCTACTTCTAGTTTTTTTTAGCTACAGTTAGCTAATATTATGTTAGCTGTCAGCTAGTGTTTAGCTTGTTTTAGCTGTAACAATTTCTGCTTCTTCAGCAAATTTCAGTGCGTCTGTGTTCAGAAAAATGCAATTCCTCTCATTATTGTGTCGATAGTTTCTGTTTATTTTCAGGCGTATTAAAAAATGCGTCAAAAAATGTAGCTCGATTAAAAATAGCGAGCGACAAGTTTTGGATCAACATGGACAAAATTCATGACTAAATTAAAAAAACTTTCCCACAGCTAAAATGAGATTTTAACAACACAAGGTACAAAAGTCAGACCTTTTGGATTTCTGACAAACTTCATGGAAAAACATCGTTCAACGTTAAAACTGGTCATGGAAAGATGTGACCCACTTTTAGGGCCGTTTAAGCTTTTTTTTTTTTTACTTCACATTTCCACCACTCGTTTACAAACGATATAAAAACGAGGTATTTTCTCTTCTTTTCACCCAGTGTCTCTCGCTGCTCTAGATTTTACATTTGCTCTCAAATCTCCTCAGATTTCAGGGGGAGCCCAAAGCGTTCAAGAAATTCAATCAGATTTTAGCTAAAAAAATATATATATATATATATATATATATATATATATATATCTTCAAAACTTGAAGCTTTAACTCACGGTTCAAGAATGTACATGCATGAATATACGTGTATCCACGTGTGTATTAACATGACGCAGCAGCAGTTTTCTAGTGTTTTATATCAATTTGTTTTAGGAGGAGCAGCTTTTCCAGAATTTATGGCAATTAATTTGAGGCCGAGCAGAAAACTAATGACCGTCTCTAAAGGAGAATTTCAATATTTATGCTTTTGCTAAAAAAAAAGTATTTAGGTGGATAAATATATATGTTTTTTTCCAAATTAAACAACTAACCCACATAACATCCTGATGCATGCTCAATAATCAGCACAGAAGAGCAACATCATCAGGCCAGGACTCTGCAGATTACACTCGTCTGCAGACCAGCGGTCGCTCGTTCAGGGATGTGAACATCATCACGCTGGTTTGAGAGGAGTGAAGGAAGCCATCTTTGTGAAGAGAACCTGTCCATCATTAAACAGGGTCTCCGTGTCCAACTGTCCCCCTCTTACAATATTGCTAGTATCACTCTGTGAATAGCGAGCGTCCATCAGGGCTCTAACGATCCATTGTTAAGCTGATGGACCTTTATCATGGTAAAGGGACTGTACTTATATAGCTCCTTTCTATCTTATCAAGATACTCAAAGTATTTTACAATCTGTGCCTCATTCACCCATTCATACAGCACTCTACTAGATCTCTACAAAGCTAATTGAATAAATCATTCTAAAGAGACTAATCAGAACTTTATCACATTCAAACACCGATGGGACTCACATCGGAGGACATGAGGGGTTCAGTGTCTTGCCCAGGGACAATTGGCATGCAACTGCTGGTGGATTCGAACCCCCAACTCTTGCATTGGAGGACGACTGCTCTAACCACTCAGCCACAGCCGCCGCCAAATGCGAACAGCTAGCATAGTTGCCAAGTTCGCTTATTATAAGCGACTTTGGGCTTGTTTTTTTCTAAAGTCGCTTATAAATTTTGTGAGTCGCGATTTTTTTGGGCTTGTTTTTCCTTTTCGAGTGAAAGCAAAAGACGAGTGGTAGGTAGTTTGTCCCTTCGTGCCCCCCTTCCACGGATGTTAAGTTCAGGTGGGGCTGGCGCCACACGACAGGCGGATGTTCTCCAGCTGTAAAAACAAACATTAGCGCGAGTGATGACGATTAGCAGAATACTGACGACTGTTTCCTTGCAGTGATGAAGATACAGATTGGTTGTATTTTTGTGTGACGCTTACAACACGGAGTGACGAGACCACGCTAGAATGAGCTCCAGCAAATGGAAAATATGGGAAAAAATATAATAAAGAATGGGAGAAGGGATGCTATTCAAAGTGATTAACATAATTTAGCTGTTTATGTTTAATTCCATAATAAATGTGTTTATACTGTTTAAAACCGGCTTCTGATTTACACAATGTTGCCAGTTGGGCTTGTTTTCATGGAGCTGGTTGCTTGTTTCTATCGCAAGATCTGGCAACACTAACAAAAACTGGTTGATCCACTAATTAGAGAAGGTGTTATTTATAAGACTGAGTTTACTGCAGCTCCTCAGACTGAAAGTCTTTTGGATTAAGGACTAAACAAGTTTGTTTTTATTTTTTTTTAATCCGTCCGCAGGGGACCGGACTTAATTTTGTCAGACAATAACAACAAAGTTTATTTGGGACTTTATATTTCAGTCTTGTATTTATATTTTCTTCTTTCAGTCAACACATGTCAGTGGTTTCCCAGTCAGACCAGTTCCTTCCTTACCTCCGTGACAAAGTTGGTGTGGAGCCCCGCGGCAGAGGAGTACTCCCAGCCCCGGGTGCAGGACACCGTCTCCCGGGGACAGTTCCCGGACAGGTCCGACGCGTTGGCCGGGTACTTGTAGAGCTGGCAGCGGCTGAGCCCGGAGCCGTTCACCCAGGGCACCGTCAGGTTCAGGTAGTCCTGCCGGGACAAGTTGCCCGGCAGGAGAGCGGGAGGCAGGAGCGTCGGGTCCGGCTTGCAGTGGTACGAGTCCGGGATGAGGGTGTAGAAAAGGTCGGTGAAGAGGTTCAGCGTCACGGCGAAGCTGGGGAACCAGCTGAACGCCACCGCAGCCCGGTTGTAGCGGCCGTAGCCGCCGGCGCGGGGCAGGATCCGGGTCTCATAGTCCGTCAGGAGCCGGGGACCTTCAGCCGACATGTTGAACACTAAACAGCTGCGCACTGAGCTCCAGCAGGTAGAGGCACGAGCCGCAGGGGGCGGGGCCTACGGCACGAGGTCCCCTGACACACCTGCTCCCTGACAGACCACAAACATGGCAACAACTCAGCTGATGGTACAGATGTTCAGCTCGGATCTGGTGTGGTAGTAGCTGAGAGTGGTCCCCAACACATATCCCGAGGTCCAACAGATTCAGCGAGAAATATGTTCGATTTGTCCAATTAACAGACAGACAACTATGTCTGTCTGTTAGCAAAATATTTCACAAACCACTGGACAGATTTGAATGACACTTTCAGAGAATAATCACTGGATTTAGATCTACAACTGTTTCATATCTGGAGCTAATCCGATTTAAGATGGCCACCACAGCCAACTGGCCTTAAAAATCACAAAAATAACCATACTTCAGCCAGTTTTATAGATATTGTGCTAAAGTTTGGTGTACTAGTAACTTGGACTAATTCACAACATACAGTATCTACTTATTTACTTACTTATTTTATTTAATCTTTATTTAACCAGGTTAATCCCACTGAGATCACAGATCTCTCTTTTGCAGGGGAGGCCTGGGCCAAGCAGCTCAACATACATGTTTTTGGTCTGTGAGAGGAAACCGGATTACCCAGAAAAAAACCACGCAAGCACGAGAACATGCAAACTCCACACAGGAAGACTTCAGGTCCAACCGGGGATTGAACCTAGCACCATGTTGCTGTGAGGCAACAGTGCTAACCACTGAGCCATGTTTGTGCTGCTGTTGTTCAGTGTATTGTTTTTGCACTATTAAGTGTTTATCGTATTCTTAGTGTTTTTCTTTACATTTTATGCTTTTGTTGGATGTAACTGGGACCCTGTGTACACATTTTCGTTCCACCACATGTACCACATGAAATGCAAATTGACAATAAAGAAACCTTATTTTGTTGATTTGTGTGAGTTAGGCCTTTCAACACCAACACTGTTTGTCTGTTAGCAAAATATCTCTTAAATCACCTGACAGATCGTAGACAAACTCACAGCATGGGATCATCGGTTGCACATTTACAAATGAATAACTTTTAGAGTCGACCGATGTCCGCCACAGATAATCTGCATCATAAAACGCACACATTCCGCCAGTTTTACAGATTCCCACAGATTGCCACTTTAAAAGATTTGAACTATCTCTTTAAGACTTGTAACTTTCTCAAGTTCCATAAAATACATCAGATGATTTATTAAATCACAACGAGATTCTGTGAGCGATCACTCGAACTCTGACACTTCTTTTCTTAATAAATTGTTTTTATGACGTTAATCAAAAGTTCAAATCTTCATAACTGGACAATGAACGAGCTTAAATTTACTTTTTGTTCAACAAAATCAAATGAGAACAGACGAGTCCCGAAACATGAGTGTGACAAACGTCCTCTTCTTACTGGTGTCAGATTGTTGCAGCTGCTGGGAACTATGGAGAAGCTTCATAAACCTCCTTCAGCTGCTTCGTCCGTTTCTGAAGCACGACGCCGTGAAGTTTACTGCGAGTCACAAACACAAACAGGTGAGCGACTCGGAACAGGTATGTGACGGACAGCTGACATGGAAAACAAGTTTTCATCTTTAAGAATATTAAGAGGAAACATCTAGTTTTTAAAGTTTTGATGTGTTTTATTTGAACTCAGAGGGTTTTACTGATGAAGTGACTAAACTCTTTCATCTTTCAGTTATCAGGCTCCAGCTTCCAGTTTCTGACACGTTGTCCAGTTTTAAGACTGAGCTCAAGACTTTTCTTTGTGATAAATTCTTTTGGGTTTCCTGAGCTCTCCTTTAGTTATGCTGCTATAGGTTTAGATGCTGGAGGACAAACTGAACACATTTCTTCACTCCGCTTCTGTCTGTACTCGCTCTGCTCGGCGTGTTTTGTATTTGTAACAGTTTTTTCTATCCTAACATGCGTTTCTGTCTTTCAGGTACATCTGGACCAACATCTGGACCTGCCACTCTGTGTTCGCCTCTCCTTCCTGTCCTCTCAAACCAGCCGGTCAAAGCAGAGCCTGGTTCTGCTGGAGGTTTCTTCCTGTTAAAAGGGAGTTTTTTCTTTCCACTGTTGCCACTGTGCTTGCTCAGGATGGGAGACTGCGACGAAGAGAAGATTCAACATGTCTGCTGCTTCCTTAGATAAAGAACTTTATTGACCTTTCTACATGTGACTGTTCCTGTAAAGTGTCCTGAGACCACTTCTGTTGTGGTATGGCACTATATAAATAACCGAATTAAACTGAACTGGCGACAGGTTGGACCACAGGAACAGGTTATTTGAACCTTCGGAACGTGAAACTTTGCTTCATGTTTGAGCTACTGAAGCCTCAGGTCTAATTTCAATGAAGAAGAAACCAAACGTTCTGCTTTTGTCTTTTTCTAAACGCATTAAGAAGAACATCCTGTGTCAATGTTTGGTTTTACAGTTTCACAGTTTTAATTTAAAAAAGGCTGAAAGGAGAAAACATTCAAGTGAATGATTTAGTTTGTCTGATTATAAAAAGACAAGAAAAAAGTTTTGTTGTGTAGTTTATTATTGTATTTAAACAGTCTTTAAATTCTGGATTTGTTCTGGGTTTAATATAACTTTAACTTTAATATAACTTTTTGCTAAAAATAATACTTTTTTTTCCTTTGAAATAGACTCACCAACTCCATATATATATATATATATATACAGTATATATATATATGTAATTATGATACAAGCTTTTAGCAACATCTGAGGTTTTAATCTATTACAAAATGTGGAATTGTTTTTGTTTTTATAAGATTATTTTAATAAACTTATGGATTTCTGAACTTCTAGAAAAAAAGACCCACAAATATCGCTTCAGTTTATAAACTTTATCTTCAATAGAAAAATATATTTTTGAAATCATCCTTAAATGTTGTTTACTGTATTGTCTTTTGCTGTTTTCTTGCCATTGTAGTTTATAGAATATAAATATATAAATTTTTTTTCCTTCTTCTTTCAGCTGCTCCCTTCTTCAGGGGTCCAGTTGCACAAAGACTTGGCAATTATTTTTACCCCGGATGTCCTTCCTGATGCAACTACAGACCACTGAGCTACCACAGCCCTCTGTGTGGAGCAGAGAGCTGCTATGGGGAGCAGATGGTGGGGGTTAAGGGCTTTGCTCAAGGGCACAGAGTGGGGCAAATGAGGGTGGAGGCAGGTGTGGGCGCTTCACCTTTCCCACTCACATTTTGATGTCGTCAGTACCGGGAGCTGAACCAGTGATCTTCTGATCACAGGCCCACCTTCTCTAACCTCTTCACCACTGTATAATATACTGTATATATATATATATATATATATATATAAACTGTATATATATATGAACTGTATATATATATATAGTTATATAAATATATATATAAAATATATATAACTGTTTAGAACAGATGCAGAGGAGCATCATCAGGAATGAGACAGAAGTGAAAATCCACTCCCGTGGCATCCTCTAATCCAGATGTTTCTGTCAAAACTTTAAAAAATAATTTTAAGCATCATCAAATTTGAGCTCAATATATAAATCTAATAAGAGCTGTAGCCATTTTTCTGCCTGCTAATGTTGGCAGCCATCTTGAATTTGAATGACTCCCAAGAACTAATTTATTGTAGATTTCTATATATATATAAATATATAAAAAAAACCCAGCTTTTTTTCAAATTCGTCCAGTGGTCCAAGAGATATTTTGCTAACAACCAGGTAAAAAACAAGAAGCCTATTCTGCAAAGGAAGAACTGCAGACCGGCGGGTAATATTTCAAAATTTTATTAACGAACATAATCTCTGAGGAACAACAGCAGTTCTCGCGCTCTCTGTACATGCAACGGTAGAAAATAACAATTTAGAAGTTTTACGTTTTTAATTTTAGCCCCGCCCCCTCCAAAAAAAACAAAAACAAAACCCAACCCCCCCCAAAATATAACAAAACAAAATAACCTACACTCACGTTCTCTCATTTATTTTTTGTCTTTTTTCTTTACATTTTTTCCTCCCACAGGAAATCAACAACAGCTGGAGGTGAAAGTATCAACGATTGCGTCAAGAACCCCCTTGAACCCCCCCCCCCCATTTTTTAGCTGCTCCAACAATATGTACACAAATAAACTACATTGTACAAAAGAAATGTTACATTGGTACATCATATAATCACCTGCAGCGACCCGGCCCGCTGCTGTTAGAACCCCACATTCTACGCAGTTTTTCAGACTAGTACAAAGAGGTGGGTGCAAAACGTCCTGGGAGGTTTTATTTACACAAATATGTACAGGTCGTCTCTTTCACGCATTACAAGGAAAATTTACACAGCGGAGACCAACTTGAACTTAAAAAAAAAAAAAAAAAAGTAATACCACAGGTGTCAGAAAAATAAACGATAATAAATAGGTTAATTCTCACCATTTAAAGAGTTCTTTATGTTTCTTATTCGTCATTCTAAACAGAAAAAATAGGAACAAAGAAACCGCTACAGTCAGGTTAAAAAAAAAAAAAAAAAAGGCTTGAAATTTTGATTCTATACAATGAAAAAATAGCAGTTATGTCTATTTATGTCCAGTAAGAATGAAAATCAACTAAACGTAAAAGAAACAAGATGAATGTGAGGAGCGTAGAGGTAATATGTTGCTGACTGAGGTGCTGTCAGGCTCACATCTGGATCAACGAGTGCTCCGCCCAACATCTGGGTCATGGGGCTCATCTCTGGCTGCTTGAAAAGAGTTTTTTTAATACACTGAACTGATTTACACAAAACAAAACGAGAAAAAAACTTTTATATTTTTAGGATTAAAGTGTAAACGTTGATGGAAAAAGTGCACCTGAACATGTTTGAGTTTTATTTGGTATTATTGTATCTGAGGGTGATGAGGGCACTTCTACTGGGTTAACGATAAAATGTTACGCTATACTTTCATTAAAGCGGTCTGAAGTGCGCTGCATTACTGGTAGAACTGGTTTAATTTCTTCACAATAAGAGTCACAGGCCTGCGTTGTCCTCTAAATGCTCACTAAAGTTCTGGCGGTCTCAACAGCAGAACTTTTACTGAACAACAAGAGTGGGACGTTGTCATTAGGGATGCACGATATTTGGATTTTTGGCCGATATCTGATATTCCGATATGTTAAAAACGATTTGGCCGATAACCGATACCGATATATATATATTTTTTCCCCTAGACCTACTTAGAGACTAGAGAGCTTTCTCTACTGTGGAATTAAAATACTACATTATTCTGCATGGTCTTTGTCAATCTGGCCTGCTTCCACAGGCAGACGCCAAAAAGGGGCTGGAAATGATGTAACGCTTCAACTTGGATTATGTTTAATGCCAAATTTTGTCATTGGGTGGTCATACAAAAATAGCACTTATCTATGTATATATATATATATATGTATATATATATATATGTATATATATATATATATATATATATATATATATATAAACATGGCCCCTTTTATATCGGTGAGTTATTTTAATGGAATGGCCGATGTCCGATATTTAACAATAACGCCAATATCGTCCGATACCATGCCGATAATATCGTGCAGCCCTAGTTTTTATAAACTTCAAATGTTTAAAGGATTTTGAAGTTAGCTCTCAGTGTTGTGAAGTTAAGACTCTTATTGTGAAAAGCTGAAACAAGTTCACAGTTTCAACTGACATTTTGCGTGCTAGTATGTACTTAAAAGTAAAAGTACACCCATAACTATCTGATACAAGAACAAATTCATTCTAGACTTTAGTCTTGAAAGGAAAAAAAAATTCTCTTAATTTGGACTTTTTTTCCTCTCATAAACTTTTAGTCGTCAATCAAATTGCAACTTTTGTTTGCCAATAAGAGCAAATTTTCTGTCAAACTGACACTTTTTTCCTGCCAATAAGACGGCAACATTTTTATTAAACTCACAACTTTTTTGTTTATTAACAATTTTGTGATTTTTCTGTCATTAAAACACAATTTTTAGTCAATAAGTTGAAATTTATCCCGTTTAATTGCAACTTTTATGTATCAATTAAACAGATTTTTTCCCCCCGTCAATAAAATTGTGACTTTACCGACAATATTTACACTTTCATCTTGAAACTAACAAATTTAAAAACTCTTATTTTGTTTCTTCTGTGGGTTCCTGATGGGTTTAGTCTGGTGCTGCGTGCAGGGCCTGTCTGACGGGTCAGCATTTCAAGCCTTCGTGGAAAAACAAAAACAAAAAAAAAAAAGACTAAAACAGGGCTTAAACCGTTTTGAAACAATTAAACGTGACTCGCTCTGAGCTCTTGATGTCTTGTAAACAACAGTGAGAGGGTGTCGGTCGGGGCATAGTTAGTGGAATACATTCTGCTCGACAAGCAACGTGATTGACATGCTAGAAAAACAAATATAAACATAGAAAAACCAACATAAACTTGGCTAAAATTAAATACACACACAAAGGGACTCTGTGAACAAACACCTTTTCCCCCAAAAAACTGTAAGAACGTGACGCACTGAAACAAGACAAACAGAAGTTTATAAAACTAATTTCTGGCCGTTTGTATAATTTGCTGTACGTGTGCGTTTACTTCTTAAAGTTATCCAGAACTATGTATCTAGCCACCTTGTCTGCACAGTGTAATTGCAACAACCATTGCACTCGACATGCCATGCACAGCCACGCGACGGGTCAGGCAAAGCCTTTCAAATCCACTAAAAACGGATCGACCCAAGAGATCACAAATCAATATTTCTAAACAGTTAAGACGGAAAATAAAACTAATTTTGTCGTTTCTTTCCCCCTCGACTGCAAATCTCTCTCCGTTTGGGCCCGACGCGACTGAATACATAAGGATGCTAAAATTTAAAATCCCTGTCAAACTACACAACCCCCCCTTAGTTTATAAAAATTAAGAATTTGACACGAGTGGAGCTAAATGTTGAACTAACTGGTAAAGATGTCATACTGGAGTCCTATGAGGGAATTTAATCTTCCTATGGGTTGTAATAAAATTCAAATGTATTAAAAAAACACTCGTTCACGTGACAGAGCTCAGTGTGAACCGAATAAGGTTTGTCTGGTGCCACACAGTCATTACATTTGGAAAAGTATATATATATATATAAAAAAAAAAGATTTTTGAAGAATTGAACGAGACATATTCTTTTAACTTCAGACAAACTGGGAGAACAAGACGCGAAGTGATGAAAAACCAGTCTTTTATAATGGCTAAACATTATTTCCAAATTTGTAAAACAAATGAAAACAAAAACAAAAGTATGACGGTTTTGCTTGTGAATGACATCTCTTTCATCCCACTCATATATATATATATTTATATTTATATATCTATGTGGCTTTGCCCAAAAATGAGTATTTTTCGCTGAAAAAGGCATTTTCTTGGTTCAAAGATTTTATGATATAATTGTGTATTAAAGCAATGAATTATAATTCTGTTTATTCTTTAAATAAAATCCTCTACATCTATTCTGCTACATCTGAGGGGCGTGGTCGGCCCGTTTTAAACAGAACTGTTGCTGCAGCGACTTGCGTCCAGGTGAGGTGACTGAATCTACAGGTGACTTTAGAGAACTGTGCACTGGAGTCGTGCACACCGTTTGGCCCACTGGATATGAGAGGGGGAAAGTGCTGCCCAAAGTGAACTGTACATAAAAAGATAATTTTTATTTATTTTTTCTTTACACTTAACTGAGTGATATTACAGTACATAGGTTATTTACAACTGTGCAGTAATGTGTGGCAAAATAAATTATCTAGAAGGCAGCAAGAATACGTTGGTTAACGAATATAAAAACTGTACATAATTTACGGAATACAACTTTTTTAAATGTTTTTTTTTTTGTCCTTTCTGGTTTTTTTTCCATTAAACTAATATTGGCTCTGTAGTGTTTCAAGTCACTTCCTCAGAAACAATGAAATGCCCAAGTAAAGAAATAGACAAAAACAATATTTCTCTTCTCCTGCCAAACCTCAAGTTCTCAAGTCTCTGAACATCAACATTCGTTGGGTTTGTTTGTTTGTTTGTTTGTTCTGGTTGTCCCGTGTTGGTTTTTTGCAGTCCGTGGCGGTCCGATGTGTTTGTGTCGGCGCGAGTGGAGTTGCTGAGGAACACTCCGGCCTGTCCTCAGGGCTCCGTGCTCGTCCCGTTCTGTTCAGCCAGGCTCAGAGGCTGTAGTTTTCCTCTCAGACACATCTGGACCTCTGACAGGTGCTCCAGCCCACTGCGGGCTTGGCTAGGCCCGGCGCAGTACGAACAGAGCCCTAAACCATCAGTGGCTGGCTGTAGCTTCCTGGAGCCTGTTGAAGATGCACCGTGGCTCCTGTCACTTTATCTGGGTCAGCGCTGGACTCACCTGGCACGACCCTGCGTCAACAGGGAGCGTCTCCTCAGGCCTCCCTCTGGACAGGCACCAGGCGGCTGGGAGAGCTCCTCTCTGATCCATCCTCCCAGTAGCAGCGGGTATCGAAGCGGGGGGGCAAAAACTGAAAGCAGAAAATAAATCTCTGTCCCCCCCGTCTCACCCTAACGAAGCACTGAGGAGTTGTGTCCCGACGTCAGAGCCTCAAAGCAAAAACTGTTTCTGCTTCTCGCGCTCCGGTCAAACAAAAGCATAAAAACTTTGAGGATGAAAGTGCAAGTTGTGTGTTTTCTTTTCCTCCGATAAAAAACCTGTTTCCTTCTTCGCAGAAGGGAATGAAGAACAAGTTTTTCTACTTTGCTCCTTTTCTGAAGAGTATACTTTTCCTGTAGAAACTCCTCTGTTGAACTTGCTAGCCCTTTCCATTCGTTCTGTTTAACAAAGCCTCCTAGGGAAGAAGTGACTCAGAGTTTTATCCTGATCTGTGAGCAGCAGTGTGTCACGCAGGCAGCAGGACAAAGTCGTCGTTCACGTCGACCATTGGCACGTAGAAGGTCGGCACTTCGTTGACGCAGAGGGACTTGTGCCCTGCTGGATCCAGCTCCTGGACCTTCAGCTGCCACTCCATCCTTTGCACTGCATTGAGGGCTGCTGCCTCGTGCTGCTGTCGCATCAGCAAACATGTCTGAGGGAGAAAGAAGAAAAAATAAAACCCTCCTGGTATTTACACACACAAACACGTTCATGGAATCAATTACCGTATTTTCCGCCTTACACGTCGCATCAGTCCAAATATGTCTCAAAGTGGGGAAAAAACATAAACAAGTCGCCTCGCCGTATAAGTTGCATCTATTATGCGTCATCACTGACAACCCTGAAATGTGGGCCAGTGTTGTGCCAAAAATCGATTGGCTGCCGAATGGCGGCCACGGGAGCATGCACGGGAGCGTGCACGGGAGGACTTTAACAAGAATTTAACAAGATTAACATTATTTGTTTTCTCGAAATTATAGTAAAGGTGTGTCTCAGTCTAACTTTTGCTTAATAAATGCACTTTTGACTGTCAAATCAGCTGCATTTCAAAAGCTGATATGCGGAAGTAGGAACGTGCAGAAAGGGACGAGTTTCTGCTCATTTCGTAGAAACTCATCAAGGTAAACACCTAAAAACAATTATTTGTTTGCTCGACTTTATAGTAAAGGTGTGTCTCAGTTGAAATTTCACTTAATAAATGCACTTTAATGATCAAATCAGCTGCATTTTTCTGGGGCGGCGCAGCGAAATGAAGCTGATTTGATGGTTGCTCCAGGCGAGCTGGACGAAGGTGGAAACTATGGCAAGCTGATTGTGTCATTAATAGCCACTTTTACCTACTACATGATACAATGTCATGACGTACTACTCTGCTGCCATCTAGTGGCTGAAAATGATGTGTTCAATATTTTCAGTCAGAATGAATGATAACGGTCATACCTCGTAAAAAAAACTGGTTTATAAATATCAGAAAAAATCCATAAATGCGTCAATCCGGTGTATAAGTTGCAGGGCATGCAAGTTATGCAAAAAAATAAACAAACTGCGACTTACAGGGCGAAAAATACGGTACTTTAAAACATTGATTTAATCAGCAATGGCTGCCAAAATGTACCTTCATTCGGTCATATTTATCATCCACGTCCTGAATCCAGGAAATGAACTGACGTGCGTTGAATCGATCTCTCACAGATTTATTTTCATCACCCTGAGAACAGAGAACAGGTTAAAAGGAGGATTTAAAAAAGGGATTTAGTTGGTTATATGTGGCAGCTGACCTCAAACCTAACGTCTTATGTCTTACCTGGCTCTCTGATGGCATGTTGTACACTTCCGAGTCCAACAGCATGGTGCAGGCGCTGAACGGCACAGCCTGATTGGCTATCGTTCTGGCTGCTCTGCAGTGGACCCGTAAAACTTCCTGCTCACATGAAACAATGAGTTTCTCCTGTAAAAAGCCAGCAGAGAAAATAATTAGTTTCAAGGTAGTACAGCAGGACGACTGCCGCATTTTAAAAATAAACCAGGATCAAAGCTACAAAGCATGTTTTACAACAATGGTTGTGACTTTGAGACTATGGAAAAGGATTTGGGTCTGCATTTCTACCTTGGAGTGGAAACTATGCAGGTTTTGATTAAGAAAGTGTTTTGATCTTTCAACAAAGGTGTGTTACGTGTGGCGGTGTGAGCAATGAGTGAGTTCTGGAGAAAGAACAACGCTGGAGAATAAAAAAACGACACTTAAAAACACACAAATGTCCAGATTATATTATTGTCTTACCCGTTCTATGCTGTGCTGCAGTCTGAGCTTGCCTCTTACTGCCTCCTGTTGCCTGAAGAGCTCCTTCAATGGTTCTGACAGCGACGGAGGTGGGGCAATCTGAACAAAACGCAATTTGATACCTTTTTAACCATTTCGGCTGTTAGTCTGTATCCATTGAAATCCACAAATAAATTCAGTTTCTTCAGATTTGTTTCATTACACTTCAAAAACTTGAATATTACCAACATCAGACATTCAAAGAACTTCAACAGAATGTGCTGTGCTTTGCTTTCATGATTTTCTGTGCCTTTGTGCTGCTCAGCATGGTCTGTGCTGCACTGCTGCTGTGCAGATCCATGTCTCATGATGTTGTTGTGAACTGGACTTAACGTTCAAACTAGTTTTTATTGTGTTTTCTGATAACGATGTCTGAGGGATTAAAAAAATAATAATACAGTAGTCCCTCTCTACTTCGCGGTTTGTTTATCTCCGACTCGCTCCATCGTCGTTTTTCAAAATAAGATTGGACATGACACACGTTTGGCTGATTGATGGATGATCTGCACGATCGGCACGGAAACTTTATTTAAAATACAAAGTTTGTTTTCTCAGTCATCCAGGTATATAACAACAAAAAAGGTTGAATCATGTCATCTGGACTTCGTTTTTTTGTTAAAAAGAAACGTTTCGCCCCTCATCCAAGAGGCTTCGTCGGTCTGAGGCCTAGCCATCTGGTATTACCCAGAAGCCACCCTGACTCTTGTGTTCCAAGCCTGCCTCAGATACCCCTGAAGTCTGGCCTTTTCACTAATGGTTTCAAATGGTTTAAATGGTTTATTTAAAATAATTTATTTTTAATTATTTAGCACCTGCTGCACATTTGTGCAGCCCAGAGCTGCAGAAAAAGCTTCCTCCTGCAGCTGATCAGCTGTTCTCCATGCGGAGTAGAGAAATGGGCGTGGCCAAGAACGCTTGCAGGTGGCAAAGAGCACAGGAGGCAGGGAACTGAAATCATGACATTCTGTGTTCTTTTAGAGCTTTAGAGTTGAGAAACATAGTTTTTTTAGAATATTGCAAGAGTGTGGGAAGGGTTTAAAATGCCTTTATATCTATATCTATATACTAAAATAAACTACCGATACTACTTACTACTTGTACTACTATCCCTCCTTTGCAGTTTTTCACTTTTCGTTGGGCTTCAGGAACGAGGGACTACTGTATACAAACTTATTGAAGTTTGTGTGTGTATAATAAAGACCTCATAGACCCACAGCGGATCGCTCCATTCATCTTTGTGAAAGTCTTACATCAATAAAGCCGCTTCTCCATTGTCAAGTACAACGCCAATCGCTTTGTTTCTATTCAGTTCTACTCAAGGGCATGTGTCCATTTAGAGTGGGTCCCTCACTCATTGGGGTGAGGGCTGGATCGTGGGCGGGCAAATAAAAGGCGTCCATAATGGCGAATCACCTTCAGTCCCTTCGAGTCGACCCGCTTCGCCGGTTGTGATCCTTTATCATCCGGTAGTTGGACATTTTTTAAATTTGTCACGACAGTCAGTTTCTCAGACACCTCCCAGTAAACTTACTCGTTTCCCGCTGCTCCATCGAGCTCACGCAGTACGCGCTCGTCTGACAAAATTGCTAAAAAGGTTTTCACCTCATTTCGATCACAGAAGAACCTGTGATTTGCAACGCTCCGTCTCAGCAACATAATCAGACTGAAAACGGCGCTTCAGGAGGAGTTTGCAAGTACCGCCTTGACTCGTGCAGCGACATCGGTTCACGGGCCAGTCAACGGCTGCGGTTTACTGGTGTCAAAATTGCTGGCTTGACTGGAACCACAGCTGAAGTGGTTCCACCAAGCAGGAACAGGCAATGGAGATACATTTGGCTGATGCTGAGTCGATGCGAGCTGAGTAAAGCCACGCCCGTGACTATTTTTAACCTATTTTTAGATGCCTTACATAAGAGGTCCCCAACACGGATCACAGTCCTGCATACTTTAGAAGTTTCCCTGCTTCAGCACACCTGACTGAAATGAATGACTCATTGACTGGCTTCTGCTAAAACTTGATGACATTCTGAGCCGGTAGTTCAATTATTTGAATCAGGTGTGGTGAAGCAGGAAAGCAGCTAAACGTGCAGGACAGTAGGCCGTGAGGATTTTTCTTTTCGTTCAACCTTTATTTAAACAGGTTAGTCTCACTGAGCTACGAGGACTCATTTACAAGAGACCTGATTTAAACAAATAACACAGATGAGCTACAGACAACAATAGGCAGTCATACAAAAGCATATAAAATGAAAAGTTAATAGAAGATATGATAAGAAACGCCACAAAAAAACAGTTACATTATAAAGCGGTGTAAAATGAGGGATCAGGGATGGGGACCTCTTTACTTTACGGACATAATTTTTTTCATCTGTGCTGCCACTTCTGGTCGGCAGAGTAGTTTGGTACCTTTTGTCCGAGAAGAGTTATAGTAGCTGAAACATGTTGCAGAAAAGCTGTGCCTTTTACATACCGGTAATCTTTCTTTGCTGAACCCTGAAAAATGTATGTCTTTAAATAATAGTTTAGGCTAGCACGACACGACTGTCTTTATCAACGACTTTGAAACATTTGATTTGTGTTTAAATCTTCAGTGACAAACATGATGCTAATTGCTTTAGCATTTCTATTATTGTACGTGTTTTACTACGCAAGAAAATACAGTAATATGCGTTTATGTATAGTAACCAATTTCAATCTGTAAATTTGTATTTTTGCCTCTATGTTTTAGTTTTTTAGAGCTCTGTATAATAATAGTTTCATAGTTGCAAGGCAGCCTTCTGAATTGTAATGGGAATGAAAGTTTCCTAAATTTTCCCATCCCCACTAAGGAAGTGGCTCCAAATCTGGGCGTGATTTTTACTTAAGCGTTTTAGTTTTCTGCTTTGTGTTCTGAACCTTCAGCATCTGATGTGAAAGTACAATTATTGTTTTAACTGTTTTTACACATTAAGTCTTTATTATGTCTGGATCGTGTAAAGGCGGGGTAACTTACCACGGGGATATGAAGTTTGCTGAGAGGCTTGCCGTCCAGCAGATAAGAACCAGTGTAGGTCACATACTCAGCGTAACACTGTGGGGCCTGCGGGGTAATGTAGCACAGAATCTTCCTCTTCTCCTCTATCTTCTTCCTGATCTGCAGATACTCAAAGTAAGGGTTGGACCGGTCGCTGTGGTAAGGCTCGATCTCATCCAGCTTGATGGCATTAACAACTACAGCTAAGGTCTGTTGAATCATTTCCCTGGTCTGCTGCATGGCTGTATTTACAAGCTGGACCTGGACTTGCTGCCCGGCTGTTCGGTGAAATTTCCTCTTGCGTGGGTGCTGGGTTGAGTCCTCCTCGTCCACAGACAGAGGACGACCTTTTGTCGACTTACCGATGACCGCTGATGCAGTCAGAGATGGCAATACATGCGGTGCTGGGGGTGCAGTAGTGGAAACGCTCAGCACCGAGTCTTTTTCTTTCTTTGGAGATGAAAAGGAAGTCACTGAAGTGGGTGTCGGGGTTCTTGTTGGGACTAGATTAATGCTCACTACTGGACTGTTCATCACAGTGGTGGCAATGGTTGATGAGGTTGTGATGCTGGAGGTAGCAGGGACAGCAGAGGGATTGTTCTTGGCGCGATTGCGAGTGATCCTTTGAGGAATTTCCTCTACCTTCTTGGGAACATCTACAATGGTGGGCACGGTTGTTGGGAAGATTGGCATTAGCTTGGATGGAGGTTCCTGAGTATCTGGAAGTTCCACTGTGCTGGAGAGGGTGACTGCCACAGACAGATGGGGAAGAGGACTGAATGACACAGATTCTGTTGTATCAGGAGTGTCCTTGTGCCTAATGTCTGGTTTTGTGGCAGACACAGAGTCCAGCGGTAACTGGACTGACTCGGTGAAGGAATGGAGCTGGGATATGTGATGTTGCTGACAGGCAGCTGGTTTCACAGGTGGATACAGCATGTTAGGTTCTGACTCTTCATGTATTTCGTATGCTAATGGTCTTTCTAACATGCTGCTGTGTTGTGGGTTAAGAGACAAACAGCTGTTGGTGGGCACACTTTGAAGCTCAGAGTCCAACTCCTGCTGGAAGGTGGTATGTGGTGACGGCACAACAAAGTCTTGTCCAGTAGATTCCCCTAAACTGAGGTCTCCAGCAGGACATGGAGTCTTTGTCAAGCTTGGTAGGTCTACCTCTATTATGTCTGGCTTTTCTTTGCCAATGGTGTGTCTAATGTGAGTTGACACGATCTTGCTGTGGTCAGCTAGTTCATGATCTCGAGGCTCGCCTTCTTCTGACTTGTCTGGTAATGGTAGGTCAGGCAAAGAAAATGGCCCCAGGTCATCAAGTTCATCTGCATCAGTCGAGAAATGATCTGCCCAGGGCACCACAGGCTCACGGCCCACAGCTGGAGCAATGTCATCAACATGGGTCGTGTTGAAGTTCTGCATGTTCATTCTACCGTCAGGCTCTACACAGTCTGTATCCATCTGGTGGCTGTTCTCTATGATAGGTTTGTTGCAGTCATGGAAGAAAGAGTCGAGCCTATTAGATGATGATGATGTATTTAAATAGTCGGGTTCCTCATCCATAGTGGTTTCAGGCCGCTCAGGAGAAGGAATGTCCGCCACAGCCTCCTTCTGCTCATCAGAGTCCTCCATGTCCTCTTTGGGCCACCTATTCCAGTTGTCGTAGGAGCCAGGAGGGTGTACCGAGAGGGGCTGCATTTCATTGTCAGAGTGAGAGTAAGGACTGGTTATTTTAGAGACGGCAGCTTCAATCTCCCCTCGAGCAGCTTTAAGGTCCATATCAGTGTTCCAACCCATGTTGTCATCGAAACAGCTGTCTACATGATTCAGTGCAGTGTGTGCTGGAGACAGCTGGTGAACGTCCGACTCCTGCCGATGTGGAGACTCCAGAGGCCAGTTCTTCCTTAGCGGGTCCTCAACTTGAGGGGAGAAAGAACACAAATTTCTTATCTGCTCTGGCTCTTCCACGGCACAGCAATCACCATCTGTCCTCTCATCCATATCAGCTTCTTCCTCCTCTTCCTCCTCCTCATCCCCCTCCTCTTCTTCCTCCTCTTCTTCTTCTCGCTCCTGTTCTTCTGCGACACAGGGCAGCTCGGGCAGATTTGGCTCACTGTGGTTCGGCTCCGAGATGTCATCAATATCTAGGGGTAGCAAAGCAGCAGGAGCTGGGGTTGGTGGTGCAGCAATGTCAAAGCATGGTTCCTGGGGATCTGGTCTGTGAACTGGCGTTGACGGTTTTGGCAGAAAACTGTTGTATACGCTTTCAGGAAGGTTTTCGTGGCCCTCTGCGACACAAAGAGTTGTTGCCATACTATCTGGTGTGAGATGGGGTAGCTCACGGCGAGGAGACAACATTCTCAATGGAGAGAAATAGGGTGAAACACACTCCAGCCTATTGACGGTTACTGATTTTTCCTCTAAAGGCTGCAAAGATGACTCAAAATCAGCAGCTGGATCACTCTGCTGTCGAAAAGGCATGTCGGACTCGGCTTTGAATTCGTTATCTAAAGATCTGCGGGTGTCAGGTGATGCAGAACGGCTGATGAGTGGTAGCTGCAGGTTCTTTGCAGGAGTAGGACACGTACCCTCCTGGAAACTTTGGGAATTGGAGTATCTGCTTGGGTGGACACAGATGAAACAAAATTAAAAATAACGCTACAGTGAATACAGTACAACAATCTCAAACGGACTCGAACTGAAACCCAAGAGTTTGCTTAGAAGTTTAAATATCTTACCTTTCAAAGACGGTTGGGGAGCAAGCATTCATTGACATAGTCATGGCTGATGAATTCTGGCAGTCCAGCCCATCCAGCATAATTTCAGGGTAATCCTCTGGACTGCAAGATGGGGTCCGTGGTGTCTGCATTACTTCCTCAAAGCTGGGGCAGGAGATGACAGATGTTGGCGTGGGGACACCAGTTGGTCTGTTTTGATCTGGTCTGGGCGAAGCGGGGAGGTTCTCTTTCATTTGGTGGCCTGCCATCCAGTCCTTTGTGTTTTGACTGTCACTAGGCTGGAACTTCCTCCCTGGAGACATCATCTGAGCTGGTAGGACCACATCCTTCAGCTTTTTCTCCTTAAGACCAGACTCTAAGCTGTTGGATTTCTTGGAGGTCAGCTCACTGCGGTTTTTTCGTACTTCCTCTGTAGACTTGGCTTTATCTTTGAGTTTAGGGTCCCCTGTTTTGGGTCTCAGCCTCTCCATTTGCTTCATCTTTTCTTTTTGTTTCTTTAATTTCACTCCAATTTCCTGATCTTTTTGACTTAACATTTGGCCAAAACTTGTCAGCTGACTATCATCATCCACCAACAGTTTTTCGCGTGGACGATTGTCTTTTCGTGTTGCGTCTTTGGACTGAGTGAGCTTTTCGTTTTCGTCCTTCGCCTTAGATTTACTGTGATCCATTCTGTTGTCTTTGTCCAACATGTCTCGACTTCTGTCTTTTTTCAAATCAAATTTAGGACTTTGCTCTTTCGATCTGTCTTTCAGAACGGAGAACTGCAGGTTATCTTTCAAACCTGACTTCACATCGTCCCTAGAGTGTTTAAATGATCCAAAGCCGTCTGTGTATTTATTCTTTTCTTCTTTCAACTTGTCTTTATGTTTCTCCTTTTTCTTTTTGTCTTTTGTCCTGTCACTGATGATGCCAGTTGCTTTCTCTTTGTCTTTTTTGGACATCTCTTTTTCAAATTCCAGTGTTTTGTCATAGTCGTCTTCGCCGTCCCCTTTGCCCCCGAATGGGAAAGTGTAAGGGTCTGCCTCAAGAGGCATGGGCTCTTTCTCAAACGGTAGACTCTCTCTGCGATTGTAGGACTCTCTGTTCTCCCCACGTTTATCTCCTTTGTCCTTTTTGACTTTTTCCTTTTCTTTGTCATGGCTCTTCTTGGATGACGATGATGAGGAATGTCGAAGCCTTTCTTTGTCTCTGAATCTGTCCTGAGGTGTAGGAATGGACAGGGAGTCTCGTCTGTCCTCAGACATATCATTAAGGTTGATGGAGTCATAGTAAGTAGTGAGGATTGGCTCATGACCTCTATCAGTAAAACTATCGGAGGAGATGTCACTGTTCTTGTCATTTGAGTCATCCTTGTAGTCATTCATAGCTTCCTCCTCTAGTTTTTCCAAAAGAGACTTTTCATTCTCACCACTGCCTTTGGAGGGCTTCCTTTCTTTTGAATGGTCCTGCTTGTCTTTGTATTTGCTTTTCATCTTTTCCTCACTCGTGTCCCTTTTGTCCAGCAGCTTCTGCTTATTTTTCTTTTCCTGGTTCGAGTCCACCGAGGATCGGTCCTTCCTCTCCTTATATTTTGAGTCTACTGAATCCTTCTTGTCCTTGTTGTGTTTCTCTAGGGAGCCTTTCCGCTCTTTACCGGAGTCAAATGTGGTCTTATCCTTCTTCTTTTCCTTGTATTCTTTGTCTTTTGCTTTTTCCGTGTTGTGTTTAATGTCTGCGGACGACTTTCTCATTTTTTCAGCGGGGAAGTGATCCAGCTCATCCTGATCAGGCGTCGAGTCTTTTCTTATGGCACTTGACCCAAGGACAACAGAACTGTTGTAGCTGTCCTCGTCATCATCACTTTCATCTGTGAATATGTCTGCTATTTTGTACCATGTTTTTTCCCTGATTTTTTCTGTTTTCTTCTCCTCTTTCTTTACCTCGAGGAAATCTTTTTCCCTCTCAGAATGTTTATCTTGAGATGCCTTCTCTTTCTTGTCCTTTGCCAATTCTGAAGACATCTTTCGATCTTTGTCTTTGCCATGAGAGTCTTTGTGTTTGTCTTTGGCTCCCTCCTTCTTGTCTTTGGTGCCCCGGTCTTCGTCTTTTTCCTTGACAGCTTTCTCTGTGAAGCCTCGCTCACTCTTCTCATGGTCAGCTCCTTTGTCTTTTGCTTTTTCTTTATATTTGTCAACTTTTGTCTTTTCTCGTTTCTCCACTCCCTCACTTTTCTTTTCTTTCTCCTTTCCAGAGTGATTTCTTTCTCGGATGTCACAAAGTTTTCCTGCAGGATCGATGTCTTTAAAGAAGCTGTCATTGCCATAATCATCTCCGATTGACTCTTGCTTGATTTTGAGATCTTTTCTGTCCTTCACACCTTCGTATGAATCTTTACGTTCTCTACTACTGTCCAAGGAATCCTTGTCTTTTTTGTCTTTGACCGTTTCTGTGGATTCCTTGCGCTTTTTGTCTTTCTCAAGGGAGTGGCTGGAGTTCAGTTTAGTTTTTTCAGACCAGTCTTTTTTCTTTTCATTTGTCTTTTCAGAAGAGTCTTTTTCTTTCTTTTTAAAACTGGCTTCTTTCTCTGACTTCTTGTCACTGTGCTCTGCTCTCTTGTCCTTAACCTTGTTGTCTTTTCTCCTCGTCTCCTCTTTAACAGTCTCAACAATTAGCTTAACAGTGTTGTTGGATTTATATTCTTTGACTTCTTTGACGTGAGCATCCCAGCTATCGTCTCCACACATAGAAGAATCAGAGGACATTTCAGAGCCCCACCTGTCGTGATGGTCATCTGATGCACTGAGCTTTGTGTCCTCCAGGCTGAGGAACCGATTGTTAACGTCATAGCCTTCATGCTCAGGCTCTTCCTTTAGCATTTTGTCTTTTTTGTATTTCTCTTTCTCCTCCTTGATGGTTTTCTCCTTGTCCACCTTAAGATGTTTCTCTTCCTTCTGCTCACTTTTTCTGTCCACTTTAGAGAAGGACTTCTCCTTGGACTTTTTCTTTTTCTCTTCTTTGTGAGTCTTTTGTTTATCTTCCTTGGCTTTCTCCTTCTCTTTAAAATTTCTCTCCTTGTCAGATTTTACAGATTTGTCCCTCTCCTCTTTATTCGTCTTGTCCTTGGTGGTGTCCCTTGCTTTCTTATTTTTCTCTTCTTTTGCTGTTCTATGCAGATCCTTTCCAGACGACCAATCCTTATCCTCAGACTTGGCTTTTGAAAGCCTATCTTCCTTTTTTGAATGGTCTTTTTCGTGTCTGGATAATTTGATTTTACTCTCAGTTGTGGATTCAGAGTCGACAATTAAGGACTTTTGCCTTGAATCATCAAAGTCAAAAGAATAGCTCTTGACAAACTTCTCGTTCATATCTTGATTAAGTACTAGACTAGGAGCGTTGTCTTTTTCCTTACTTTTATGCTTGTGCTTTACTTTATGCTTTTTAGTCACTTTACCATCTCCATCAGTTTTGGAGATGGCGCTCTCTGCGGTGGAATTTTTATAGAGTTCTGAGTTTTTCTTGTCTACAGTGTTACCGTGTGCATTGTTGTTTTTCTTTTTGTTCTCCTGCGCTTTTCTTTTAATTTGCTTTATTGACTCAATACTCGAATCAGCAGAAGAGTACTCTGACTCACTGGACAGTCTCGTTCTGACTGAATCCGAAAGAGAACTGACATCCGACCACGTAGGAGACGACACGGTCTTCCAGCCATCTGTCCTCCACTGCTTCGGATGCTGTTCTGCTAATGATGGCGTGTGTTTCTGAGAGTTCAAGTTTCCGTGTGAGGAAGAGGAGGTTGCGTTAAAGCGAGAGGATTCTTTAAGGTTCATTGAGGAAGAGTCCTTTAAATTATTTGAGCCCTTATCATCCTCACTCTCCAGACCTCCACTATCGGAGTCTGACGTACAGAATTTATCATTTACTTTGCCAAACCTGACTTCTTTGCTGACGTTATTTTTACACTCCTTCTTTCGCTTCTTTTTGACTTTATTTTTGTCTTTTTGTTGTTTTGAGCTCATGCTGCCAGAGTCTCTAGTCTTGGTATTTGTTTGCTGGGCTTGTTGCCGTGGTGTGGGTGCTGGTGTGAAACACAACGTCCTGTCATCCTCGTCTGAACTGTTACTGTCAGAGATGATCCGCCTGACAGTTTTCTTTGGTGTGAGCGAGTTGCTTTTGGAATAGGTTTTAACTTCCATCTTGGGTATAGAGATGAAGCTGTTGGCCTTACTAACGGAGTCCTTTCGAAAGTCCTTTTTTAAGAGGTGTTTATCGTCGACAGGAGGGACTCGCTCCTCCTCATCATCCTCATCAAATTCGTATTCATCCTTGACAGGTGTGACAACAGATTTCGGAGGGTCTGCGGGTTTTCCTTTTAACTTCAAACCCTTCTCAAACTCAGAGTCTGTGTTATTGCCGTCTACAGAGCTCGAAGGGGCAATTGAGGGTGCATCCTCTTCCTCAGAACATTCTGTGAAACACAACCATAATCAATATACAATTCAACAAAAACAGTGAGCTTATAAAGTGACCTAAAACTTTAGGTATTACAAACCTGATGAACTCTCTTCACTTGAGGTGTACGTGCCTTTCCCCAGCAACAGATTCAACATAGTTGGAGAGCTGGCAACCTTTAGCGGTGTTTCACCCCTTCGGTTGCTTTGCCGTGGGTCCCCTCCATAACGTAAAAGTAGCTTAACCACCTGAAATAAATTAAAATTAAAAATTTAATGTAAATACCTTGTAGCTTAACCTTTCTCTCATGCTTTAATACGTAGAAGTAATGAATGAGCTTAACTCAGAATGATGGTAACAAAAGATCAGTAAAAGCAGAAATCCAGGTTTTTACTGTGCAACGGAATTCTGAAAATCTTTTTATTGTGGCAGTTGTTTTTGATTTGCTAGTTTGTTTTTTCATTTACAGAAGTTAATTTGTATAATTATTTTAATGATGAAGATAAAATATGTAAACCTTTGCAGAGATTTAATAAAAAATTTTTTTTCAGAGTAACCCATTAATCCCTAGAAGGCTGAGGTATAAACATGTTTTAAGATTTTGTTTGTTTGTTTACTGGCTCAAAATGTATCTCCAGTAGGCCTGTCACGATAACAAGTTTTGCTGGGTGATTAATTGCCTCAGAAATTATTGCGATAAACGATAATATTGTTTGAAATTTGACATCAATTAGTACTTGTCAAATTTAAGAAATGTTGGTTAATTTGTTTTTCGTGTAGTAACTTTTTTGACCACTGGATGGCAGTATAAGATTGTTTGAACCGAAGGATGGATAGTAAGGGGGCGAGCAGTGTGTCTCTAAGAAAAATGGGAGGGAGGCCCCATGACGTGACATGGGCTGTCTCTCTTCTGTTCTCAAAATGGCGGACGCTCGGTGTGGTTTGAGCTCTTTAGCATAGCATTTCTCACACAAAGCTTCTGAGGAAAAAAATCAGTAAACAAGTTCTCAGCTTCTTTTTGCAGAAAAAAACCCAACTTTTTACACGAAGGCACGGGCTTCAATTGTGAATTTTGGAGCTTTGACAAGAAGGAGGTTTTTTCCCCCCTGAGGTCGGCCAGTTAGCTTAGCTTGTAGCTTAGCTGCTTTTAACCATCCAAAAAAAGCGATTTTGGACGGTTAAAACAGATTTTAAAGAGAAAAGAGAAAGGGAGGGGTCAGTGAAGATCACCGGAGTTGAGCTTTTTGTCATCCAGTGTCTTCAGTAGAAAGAGAAACCAAGAAACGATAAAGCCGATAAATGAAAATGAGGTTAGATAATTTTCATTTATCATGCGATTAATTGATTTATTGTTTATCGCGACAGGCAATATATCTCCCGTTAAATAAAAATGAAAAATGTGTACAATAAGAGTTTAAAGAATATGTACATTATAATAGAAAAAGTTTAGGTAAAATGAGCGGTTGCTTCAACTTAAACCTTTTCCATCAGTTGAAGAAGGTGTGATAATTAGTTTAATGTTTATATCAGTATCGTTGCACTTTTCCTTCTTTGTATTTCTGCATGTGGGTTTGGGATATGGCTTCTTTATATTCATGTAAGTATTGCTAAAATGTGTATAATTTTAAATGAACAAAACAAACAAACAAAACGTTTTAAAGCTGCAACTTTTGAATTTAAATGTACTCTTTATGATTTGCAAATTGCATTGACTGAATTTGGCTGCAGACTGGCTTTGCTTCACGTTTTACCTTGAAATGCCCGTTGTTGGATGCATCATGCAGAGGAGTGTCATCGTCCAGACCCTTGGTGTTGACTTCAGCTCCGGCTGCCAGCAGCTGCTTTGCCACATCATAATATCCCCTGTTGCACGCCTCATGCAATGCAGTCCAGCCTAGACACAAAAAAATGATTGCTGTCTCTAAAGCCTATACTTTGAATGTATGAATGCAAGCTACAGTCTTAAAAAGTGCAGGACAGTAAAAATATCAAGTTTCTCACCTGCAAAGTCTTTTACATTCACATCAGCTCCCTCGTTGATGAGCTCCTTGATGCGGCGCACCTCTCCACGAATTGCTGCTCTGTGCAGTCGAGTCTCCCCTCTTTCATTCCTTTTATTTACTTTGTCTTTGGTTTTAGATGCAGAGTTTGGCGTTCCCTTCTGACCCAGACAGGACTGTGACTGATGCTTTGGTGTTGTGTCTGCAGGAAGAAGACGCAAATTTTACTCAAACACTTGGAAGTCTCTGATGGAGACATTTTCTGTAACCATTACTTCTCTTTTCCCCTCTTGTGCTGTTAAATAATTTGAGTTTAAACTGGTTAAAGCCACAAGGGGGCAATCACACTCCATCAATCAGCATTACTATGATTTGGACCTACTTTACTTGAGCTTTTTCCTTTCACATTTGCAAGATTAAACTCAACCCTTTATCACATTTACATTATTGAGTTTGTTCAGCCATTGTCCCAAATGGTATTTGAAACACATTCACTTAATCCAAGTCTATTGCTCTAGGCATGCAAGAGAGGAATTAACATATAAATAAAAGTCTCCTCGCACCCAGCCATGATAATTTCATTCCATCTAAAATGTCAACATCCCAACCCAAAAGATGCAACAATAATGATAACAAGCATTTAATACATTTCCAGACATATTACTTACCAAAACTCTGAGGGAAAATAATGAGCTTAAATCTAAAAGGATATTCATTGGGTTGCAAGTAAACAACATGCAACTACTTGTGCGGATTTTACATTTAGCTAGCTGTCTGCTGAGATTTGGCACAAATTCTGCGATTGCACCATCACTTTCAGAGTAACGCAACATTAACACAGGAGTTAGTTTCATTTCCTTACATGCAACATTTGAAAAAAACTACACGAATATATAAACGCCACTGTCAAAACTAAACTTATCACTGACAACAGAGGTTTAAATTGCAGCTTTAAAAAGTATTGAGTAATATTTACCACTTGACACAGAATTGAATCTTTTGAGGCTGAAGAAGTGTCAGGTGAAATGCTCAAGATTCACAAAGTAAACAAAAACAAAAAGCTGTGACTCATCCCCATCGAGCTCATTTATAATCCACCTACGCATACTCTTCTCCCACAATTACCGTCTACATATAAAGCTCCCTCCCATCCTTTTTCCCTCTCGCAACAAGTCCAAAGACGTGGTCTAAATGATAAGCACGCACCTGGACTGTTGACGGACTTCGCAGCTGTCATTTGCATGAGCAAGGCCACCTGCTGCCGCTCGGAGACGGGGTACCCAGGCCGGATCCCTGGCATTCCCATCCCAAACGGCTTCCGGGTGTTAGTGGGCTCCTTTTTAATGCGCTTCCTCTCTGGACCTGGTTTCTCTGTGACAAGAGTAAGAACAGAAGCAAATTAGTGCAATTTATTAGGCATGTACACAAACACGCAGCACAACACGTGTAACAACAACACGCTCAGATTTTTTCATTTTCTGTACAAAGGAAAACTTTAAATATCAGGGTGCATTATCATCTGTGATCCATGATGCTTTATATAGTATGGTCAGCCAGGAAATTTCCCAACAAGTAGTGCAACAAACTGAATCAAATCTTCTTTAACCAAACCTAATACCAAAAAAATAAAACACTTTAAACGCATAACGAAAAGCCAGTTTTGCATTCGATTTGTTGTTCTAAAATAACGTTCACAGATGCCATTAATTAAAATAAGTGCTGCTCAAACTTTCCAAATACATTTTTTTTTCCTGATACAATTATGAGCATCAAATAAAGATAATTCTTACTGCGTCTCAGTAAAAAACACAACAAATCTTTGTTGAATGTTTGTTACAGCCTCTGCAGCCTGACACAAACAAAAGACAACCTAGAATTACTATATATATATATTTTTTAATTAAAGTACATTTACTTAGGCTACAATTTGTGGCCTTTTCCCCGTTTCATTTTGTTAACATTTGTTTTTTGGGGGCTGACTCATTACTTCATAGAGTAAAAATAAACAACGACAACAACAACACAATCCTTTCTAGCTTGAGTCAACGCGATGCCATGTGGTGAGGTGAATTTGGCAGCTTTGTAGGTCTTTAATCATGTCTGCTTTTAGAATTTCCTGTGTAAGATATTGGGTCAAAGCCTCTAACAGGATCTGCGGCGCACGCTCGGAGCATCCAAGTACATCTGAGAATGTATATGTGCAGAATTTTTTTTTTTTGACTCCCTGCATTACGCAGGTGCGTTAGACCAAGAAATTCAATTCAGCCCAATTTCACTTGGACTAAAATGTTTACAAGGACTTTAAAAGCAGAAATAATGTCAGACTACTGAATTAATTAGATATTTTCCAACATCATGTAAAAACACTGAATGCTTTTAACCGTCCATTCACTCACTTCCAGGTTCCCTGCATGTTTGAGAGCAAAGCTGCTGAGCCGCAGTATCGCTCACTAGTTTCAAATTTAGCAGCTTTGTTAATGCAATAGAATAATACGGCACCTACTGTCAAATTCGATGACTTTTGAGACGAAAGGCTTGATTTTGTTTACGAGAGCAGCACATTTAAATTAAATTTCTCTATTGGACATACGTTTTACATTAATGAAACTAAAATTAAAAGCGCATCAGTTATATATAAAAAAGTAGTTAGCTACCACAGCTAAATGATATTAGCCAACAAAAAATGTCTGTAACTTGGGTAATTTTACAGATAACTGAGATAAAGTGTGATGTGGTAGTAGATGAGAGTCATTTATTGTGTGATAATGAACTGTACAGAATGAAATTGCATATAAGTTTCAAGGTAGGGCTCAACAATTAATTGTATTTGTGATAATATCGCGATATGATAAAACAAGATTTTCTAATCGCAATGGCTGCAATTTGACTGGTCACGTGATCTGGAGCAAAGCAGGGCAGGGAATGGGAGAAGTCAACACTGCACTTTAACCGGTTGCACAATGGCGTCGGGCTCGACAGAAGCCGGTTCATCTGAAAGTTTGATGCCAAAGAGAGGCAGCACGTCCGTTGTTTGGAATTATTTTGGCTATAAAAAGAAGACGCTGAGCAACAACACGTATTGTGCAGAACCTGCCTTGCTGCGGTTGCTACCTGTCGAGGTAACACCACTTAAAAAAACACTACGAAGCCATTTACGACAGTTGCATGGCTAGAATGACAATGATCGGTGCTTCAACTTAAACAAGCAAAGTAGCAGTCGACAGGGATCACTGACCGAACTGTTCGAAGGCATTACTCCATATGAGCATAACTCGAAACGGCACGCAGAAATAACTCGAGCAATAACAGAGTTCATAGCGAAAGACATGATGCCCATTAATATAGTGACCAAGCCTGGGTTTACAGTTCTGGTAAACATAGTGAATAAGCCGTACAGAACGCCCTCATGCACACGTTTTAGTCAAGTTGCCATCCCAGATCTACACAAAAAAATGCAGAAACGGAGTTGCAGCGGAGCTGAAAACAGTGGAGTTTTTTGCAACTGAAACAGATACAGCTCTTAATTTCATTGCACTTGCGTATAATGACAATAAAGGCATTCTGATTGATTTATTGCTTGTGTTCGTTGAAAAATGCATTAGAAGAAGACATTGAAAAATAACTGCATATTACATTGCAATATTGAGGTAAAATAAATAAATAAAATCGTAATTAGAATATTTTCCAAAATTGTTCAGCCCTATTTCAAGCTTTGACCAAAACCTCAACTCTGGAGTGGCGGGCGATATGCATCCTTCAAGGAATGCCGAGCCTTTAATTACTAACCGTTTTATCACTAAGACAGCAAAAACAAAAATCTGAACATGACGGGAGCTTCCTCTGTTTTTAAAGGTGTTCAAATACAATTAAAGAGCCCACACGACTGAGTAAAAGAAAACAAATGTTAAAAGCTTACTCTGGCTTAGACGTGGAAGATCCACCCAGTATAATTCAGCGCTGTGACTAACTTGTTTCTACAAAAACACACATTTTGCTCATTTCTAGAAACTTTCAGCTCCAACGTTTGCACTTGAAATTATTTTCAATTAGACTTGTGGAAAAACAAACGGCGCACATGCTCACATACTGTTTGTGCAGCTTGATGTGCGAGAGGTGTGTAGGCAGCAGTGTGGGTCACTTTGGTGTCATTACCCAGCAGCCCCTGAGGAACAGAATGGCCAACGGGCAGTGTTTATGTCCGTCTGTCTCCAGGCCAATCAGCCAAAATCGTAAAGAGAGGAAAAGAGGGTGTGACTTGGCAAAAATTGTTATTACAGAATAGCTGGTGTATATTTCAATTCAAGAGGGCCTTGCCAAGGTCACCACTGTGGAGACACTGTGCTACTGGACAAAAGCAGCTGCTCCACAAAGGCACACCCAGCAATTATTTTCAGTGGCAACATACCATCTGATCACCCATGAAGAGGGTAAAACTACATGAGTGTAAGACTTCATCATCCAGCGGGAAACAACTGTCAACAGCAAGTTTTTACAGCAACACAACCTTCAAGAATCACAAAGAATGAGCGTGTACAGAGGCTTCACGACGACAGCGGATGATTTCTGTCGGACCTCTCCCACTCCAAGCCTGGATGCAAAGCTCGAGTTTCCAAACACGCAACAAAGCAAGAAGTGAACAGTAAAAAATCCTGCTTCCGGTGCCTAAAGGATTTCCAGGAAACTATTTTTCCAGTCACATGTACAGAGAAAATAAACTTTCACCAACATCTGTGAACACTTACAGCTAATGTGCCCTTCAGCACTCTTTGATACACTCTCACGTTCTCCAAAGCATTCACCATTTAGACACATTCCTTCTGTAAAGACAGCAGGAACCACAAAAGTAGTCCAACATGTTTTTCTCTGCAGCAGAACCGCTATACTGCTAAGCTAGCTTTTCCATGCTATGTTTACAAGGCAGTGTGATGTAGTCCTGCAGACAAATGCAGCTAAGCCAAACCAAAGTTGAAGCCTCATCATCAGAGGTATGATCTCTTATCCTCCTGACCTGCTTATCTTTGAGATAAGGAATGACTAAACATATAACTGAACACAAGGCAAAAAAATTAAAATATGACTATGACAAAAGCCGGTATAATTATGGTGTTAAACCAACTAGCTAGGCCACAATAGCAAAAAATACAAAAACACAAGTTATACATTGATGAATACTGTAGGACAACGAGACCAATTTTTTTAAAGGTTTGCAGTCAGCAAAAAATATAAATAAATAAGTGATTTTCAGCTGTTACTACATCGAATCTTAGCACAATGTTTGTAAACCTGACTGAGTTATAGCTAAATTTGTGTTGGCTAGTGAGTAGCTGTGGTAGCCATCTTGAATGGAGTTGACTCTAAACGGCAACAAGATGTTCATCAGGTGATTTGTTCTCTAAAATCATCCAGTGGTTCATGTGATGCTTTTGGTAACAGACGCACAAATGCATCCAAAGGCGACACGTCATCATCGCCTTCGACTTTCCGCAGCGGGCAATAATTGCCTGAAATACATCACATTGTGCACGCTTCCATTACCATTCAGCTGAACATCTAGGGAACATTGCTTTTATGCGTCTCAGTAAAATGATATTATTCAGCTTTAAGACAAGGTTGAAACCTTACTCTCCTTGTTCCTTGAAACTTGACTAACAAGATAAGAGAAGGGGAGAATAGATGAGAAACGTAAGCTAGGTAGGGACTGACACCCTGTGAATAGACTGCCTAACAGAGCAAAGAGGAGGAACATACATCAAACATAAAAGTCAGGTTACAAAGAGAGGAAAGCTTTTAAATGGCAGACAAATAATACTACAGTGCGCGCAAATGCCAGAACAAAAGATGGTCTATTTCAGTTAGCCAACAGATGCAGCGACAAGAAAAACCACTCTAACCAGCCTGACCAGGTACGCTAGTTCGTTGAATGGAGAGAAACGTGTTGTGTTTGGGGAGTTGCATAAACAGGAAGTTAAGATAGAAGTGGCAGGAAACGGCCAACAGGATGCTTTCTCAATGCTAGAGAAAAATCCAACATAGATGTTGTGACAAGTATGAACGACTATATTTTCTGTTTAATTCATCCAGTTGTTATTTCAATCAGCTGAGCTCACCGACTGAATTTACAGAGTTGTATTTATTTGAAGCCAATTAGGAGACGCATCTGTTTTACTACTCAGGAGGAAAATGATGTGTAGACTGGAGATTTGTGTGAACCGTTGTGTTATTTGATTTGGTTTGATTTTATTTTTACAGCTCACCTTCAACAATGTGCCAAAAGACTATGTAAATGGCCGCAGGTATAAATGTTTTTACAGAAAGAATGAAACAACTTATTAATGAGCTCCTAATGAGCTCCTAGCAGGCTGTGGCAAGCCGATTAAGGCACTAATAGTCACTTTTACCTATTACATGACACAATGGCATGCCATACAACTCGAGTGCCATCTAGCAGCTGAAAATGGTAGTGTTCAATATTTTCAATGTCGGAATGAATGAAAATGGTCATATCTCAGCCAAAAATTGGTTTATAAATATGGGGGAAAACATAAATAAGTCGATTCAGTGTATAAGTCGCAAGGAATGCAAATTATGCAAAAAACATGTGACTTACAGGCCAAAAAAATAAGGAACTTAATTTTCATCAATCCAAGTAGTACTTCTGAATACCACGGAGTACCAGTGTTTTGAAATAAAACGAGTTACATCATGTTACACACTTGATTCTTTTTTTTATATTTTAGATTAAGTTGTGAAACTTGATTTTGTTCAAAATGATCATATCAGAATTTATTACTCGGATATGCTCGTCTAAAAACGTTCAAACAGTTGGAACTACTATAGATAAACTAATACACATGAGAACAGCAGCAGAAGTATTTTTGTTCCTCCTTCCTGTCCTCTCAAACCCCAGCTGGTCGAAGCAGATGGTCGCTCGTCCTGAGACTGGTTCTGCTGGAGGTTTCTTCCTGTTAAAATGGAGTTCTTCCTTTCCACTGTCTCCTTTGTGCTTGCTCAGGATGAGACTGCGACAAAGTGAAGACTAACTGTCTTTTATGTATGTGAACGCTTTTGTACAGTGCCCTGAGACAAGTTCTGTTGTGGTTTGGTGCAATATAACTAAACTGAATTGAACGGAAGTTTTTGCACAAGATGCACAATGTTCATACACAAATTACAAAGTTTCAACTTGACTGGGCTTAGCCTGCATGTACTTTGTATCAGTATTATATTTGAAGCGATGTATTTTTGGAGATCTGGAAAACAGTATTTCTGTACTCCTGCCCAACTCAACTGTGCACAAACAAGACAGTAATGTGCAACAAAGGGCTTAGGACAGCCTTTCAGGTAGTGAAGGTATTTCACAACTAACGTTCCAAAAGCCAATTATGTTATGTTTAATGAAATAACCACAGCAAAGCTTACTTCTGCTACACTTTAACACAGCTTAGCATAGTCCTGAAGTTTCACAATGTGTTGTTTTCTCTTTTAAACGGCATCAAATTTACTTTCGGTCTCTATCACCTAATAAACTTTATGCAGGAAAAACTGGCACCATGTTAAAAGTGAAACAACCTGGCAACACTATGGTAGCAGCTTTAACAGATGAGTGACAACCAAGACTGACAAAAACACACACGTAAAACTATTTGAATAAAAATAACTCTGATTGTTTTGCTAATTAAATAAATAAAAAGTTCCCACTTGGGAAAACACACTTCTGTGATCCAGGTGACGAAGTCAAGAGATTTAATTTAATTAACTCACTGCTGACACAGAGTAGCCAGCTGTTTTATTACACAACTTACATTTTCAGGCATGAGTTTATGGCAACGTGAAAGGAATATATGTGAATCAATAGGTCAAAAAGAAACCATCGAGATAGAGTTAATCTGAGAATATAAGTAGTATATAACTGGGCTGTGACTCAGCAGGCAAAAAGCATTCCTGAGGGAGTCTCCAGAATGATTCGTGACCTTTACAGGGATTCTCAATTTACTTGCTTGAGTCAAATAAACAACAAATACATAATCTCTAAAAACACCAACAAAGCTGTTACGAGCATCTGCAGGGTTGTATTGTGAAACTTGTATGGGAATTCTCTTATAAATAAAGCATGTCCACATAGATGATCTGGTCCAAATCTGCTTATCTTCATTTCTAAAGAGTACTTCGGTACTTTGGTTGAGCATGGACTTTGGTGTACTTCGGTAGATTAAATCATAGTTGTGGGGACAGCTATCATGTTTGCACAGGAGGGCAATAAAAAAAAATATGTGCACAGCTTACAATACAGTTTTAATAATAACATTAACAAATACAAATAACAATAATATGTTTTATTTCTAAAAACATAACCTTACAGAACAATCAAGGACACTGTGTAGCTAAAAAACCATCATACAGCAGAAAAACAATAAAAAAAACACTCATGCATTAAAACATCCAGCAGGTAAATAATATAAAACCAGCAAAGGAAATGACAATAATTTTATACAAGAGAATATTACTTCTGAATATTTTTTTTTTTACCACAAAGATATTACAAAAGCATATATAAAATGAACACAATGTAAACACCACAAACATTGGAGTCACTCAAAAACGTTTCAATCAAACATCTACGTGGTTAATAACCAATTGGAGGTATACCGTACTCGCATGAAACCAAACACTTTTTTAAAAAGTGATTGATTCTAAATATAACCTCATGCCAAACCAGTCACACGTTGCAATATAGTTGATTTCTTCTCCTATCAGAAACACAATGCTCAGTGTAATCACAGCAACTCACAGCGCCACAGACTCTTAGTAAAGCTGCTGATGTGGATCTGCATTATCAAACTAAATCCCGAGTCCTTTGAACTCAAAGGCAAGCCACAATTCTTATGTCCCTAATCAAAGAAAACACAAAGTCAGAGCCTTACCAAACCCAAACCTGGTCAGGTCTGCGTGTTAAAGTTCCACAGGTAATTGGTTTGTCATTTTTTGTTGTCCTCTTCTTTCAAAAGTCGATTGCACAGTATTAATTCACTCTTTGGTTCTGACAGATACACAACTATACTACAGATGAAGGGGCAAGGTGCATTCTCCCTCCCCAAGGCCCAACTTCCTTTCACAAAGCAGAACTAGTTCCCATCAGGACAAAGTGATGCAACAAGCCACCCGACATATTTCTCTTTGATTTCCACTTGAAAGTGAACATGGGTGTGGAGATCAAATGCGCTGAGACAGTAAAAATCGCCTACCTGAGTCAGAATCTTTCTGGTCTCCATTTGCTCCAGTGGTGAAGGGCAGTTTCCTTTTAGGAGCCTTTTCTTTCATCTCTTTGACCCCATCACTGCGATCCAGTTTGGGAGTCTTATTTGACAACACTTTATCCTGGAAAAGAAACAAAAAGACCCCTTAAAAACCAGACACAGGACGACATTTTAAACGTAAACAATATCATCATCAGACCAAGTAAAATTATTTTAAGTGTTTACGCGTTTGAAACACTTGAACCATTTGTGGATCCCGCAGGCCCATCTAGTTCAGTTTCATTCACTGCCTCAACCACTGCTTTTTTGTTTTTTTCAAAGCTACGTTTCCATGAAGTTTCTCCGAGATCATTTTGCCCCAGTCAAAGAGACAAGCGTAAGGAAACATGGCCAAGCTGACGCCTGCTCCGCTCTGTGGTCTGCAGCTGCTGGAAACAATCATGTGACCAAGCAAGTCTGCCATCAACAGATGTACATACTTATATGTCCTTTCAACTTGTCTCTTTCTTGAGTTGGAATAGCAAAAAATGGACTTGTTTATCCCGATTCATACTTTTGTAACAATCCAGATTAAGGTATAGGAGGATGACTAAAACAACATGCCACCATTTCTTGTAGGATTAAAAATAACTAAAGAAATTGCAACAAAGTCCATGCTCAATAATCAAGAAATTGCATTTTTGCAGAAAGATTTTGGTGCAATTTGCTGAAGAAGCCGAAACTGAGCAGTTAAAGCTAAAGGAAGCAAAACACTAATTAAGAAGCTAAAGGAAGCAAAACACTAGCTAAGAAGCTAAAAAAGCAAAACACTAGCTAAGAGCTAAAAGTACCTAAATAAGAGCTGTTAGCTAAAAGTAGCAAATGGTAAGCTAAAAATTAAAGGTAACAAGGCTAGGCTAAAGTAGTAAAAGGCTAAATAAAAGTAGCAGAAGTATAGCTAAAAACTAAATTAACAAAAGGCTAGCTGAAAGAATCAACAGTTTGGCTCAAAGCTAAAAGTAGCTAAAAATAAATGAAAGCAACACAAAAAGACAAAAACAGAGCAAGCATGCTAAAGCAGATAAATGTTTTTGAAGAAACTGAAACTATAACACAATTCCATGATTTTTTTAAATTTTTTTTTGTAAATAAAGTACAACAGTTGCAATAAACAAAAAAATAAATCGTAGCACCTATCTCTTGATCGAGCTGAACACATTGAAACACGACTGGCTAAAACAGAAGAATTAGTTTGAGTGCAACAAACATACTTACAATAAAAAAAAAAACACTGGAAAATAAAAATAGTACTATGAAAATTTACCAAGTAACAGGCGGAAAGGAATGTCAAAGTCAGTTTGCTTGTAAAATCATCAGAGTGTTATATAGAGGTGTGCAATTCAGCTTTGTAAGAACCTGAAATAATTCATATTACGACTGTATGATTTGACGGTCATTTTTCAAAACAGCTTAACCACTTAGCCTACTTTTAAAAGTACCCAGCAATAAATGCCTAATGCCCTTTGTTCCCTTTACCAAAGGGGAACAGCTGTGGTGTAACAAGCCACCCTTTGGTAAATCATAAAGCATTTACGAATTTGTGCAAAGCAGCAGCTTAGCTGGAAACTTCACATTAAACAACTACCGTACGTATTTACATATACATATTTACAGCAGTAATCAAAACAGAGGCTGTAAAAGAAAATATCAGAATTTGTTGTTTTAATGAGTGGCATTTCAGTTCCTCTTCCTGACACTTGTCATCTGATGACAGATACATTTAAATGTTTAAAAACTTTCATTGTGCAGATATTACAGTATACTGCAAAGATATTTTTAGTCACATTTAGAGTGGGTGAATACACTCCCTTTATTTAACTCAGTTTTTCTGCTCTCTTCATATCCATTTTTATCCTGGGGGTAGGTTTTCTATTGTGTCAACTCTTTGAACCCCTCCCCCTGCCCTGCCCCAGTCATGAGACTATGATGTCATGGTACAGTAGACAAACGGTGTCAGCTACAGTGAACTAATCTCCCCGTCTGCATTCAGACACACAAAAGGCATCGGCACGAGAACACAAGAATTAAGCAAAAGCATGACACGGAGCTCCGCGAAGAAAAAGCCACACATTCAAAAGAAGAAACAAGTTTAGCAGGAAACCATTTCTTTAGAAGAGAGCTAAAAGTAGAGAGGAGTTCCTGATGCATGCTCAAGGATAGAGAGGAGCTGTTTCACCAGAACTTGATGTGAACAGAACTTCGACAACTTGATTTTCCTGAAATCCACCGTCACATTCCTGTTTTTTACTGAACTCTTTGTAATAATGACCGCTCGTCTTTTGTTTCAGTTTTTTCCTCACCCCTGTGCACTCTTTTTCTCTCCCTCCCTCCCTTCTGCACTCCCTCTGTGCCACGAGTCTGATGCAATCCTTTGCAGAGAGCTGTAAATCCATGTCTGCATAAGCTGCACCTATCTTTGCCAGTCAGTCGATAAGTTAACAGTTGGCATGACATCATCAAGCTGCGCCTCTTTTTTTTTGTTTATCTGCAAACTATACAGTTGTAACCTTGTTTCTAAACAAGGGACTCTCCCCCTAAAGCTCAAATTTAAGAGCAAAGGAGGGAATAAAAAAGGCACTTCTGAAACTAGTTTTGTTCAGAGCACAACATTTTGCCATTTTATAACTGGATTGATTTCATTGTAGTTGAGTTATAATTTTCTAGGTGAATGCAACATAATGAAACCTGCCCGCTTGAATAAGTTTTTAAACACACATTTTTGTCCGTTACCAAATGGGACAAATACAAATGATGGAAATAAAAACACAAGGCTTAATTTACATGCAGACAAGAACTTAACAGTTATGTCATATTCATTTCAAAATCAGGCTCACGATAAGAGTCAAATATCTTATTTACATGAAATAAAAACGACATTGTGTAACTTTTATCGTTTTAACATAAAATGCAGTCAAAACTTTCTCAATGCATTCTTGCTGACATTTAAGAAGTGTTTTACAGTTTCTACAGTTTCCCACACCATTATACAAGCGGGGTGCCCCACCTCGTCAACAGAACTGAGCACCCCGCTTACCAAACCGAACTTGCCCCCCCCCCCCCCCCCCCAATCTGGCACTGACATAGCACTAAGCTAGCCGCGCGAAATACAGGCGCTCTAGCTAAAAAGCTAAAGGCACCTCTTCTCTCATGCTGACACCCCCCCCGGCTCAAAAACTGTTTTGGTACAAGCTGCGCTCAGACATGTCTCCGTCCCTCCATCAACAAAAATCATGGACGAGAGGAGCACCCCGCCATGGCAAGTTAACCGGGGGAATCACTGCATACATTTTAACCAGATTGCAGGGATCTATAAATAAATATTTGTTTAGTATGATCTTTTAATTTGACCATTTTGCCCACGTCCCCCCCCCACCTCCAAGAGGGAGGTTTTTGGTTTAATGAAAAAATAATATTTTTAGGCTCTTTCTGTAAGTAGAAAATATTTTTACTAGAGATGCACAATATTGGATTTTTGACCGATATCCGATAGGTTAAAACGTATTTGGTTGATAAGATATTTTTAATATACTTTCCTGTGTCAGAACATAGCCCTCTTATTTAGGCTTATTTGCTAAAAAAATTGTGCAACAGCTGTAACAGCTGGTGACATATATTCAGTAACAGCCATACGCATAGCACTTTAACTTATATTAAATGAAAAATGTTAAATGTTATTTATTAGCATTAGTCATATGCAACGCTGTCTCACTTGTGGAGGCTTGTTCCGGGTTCCTATAGCTGCAGTGTGGGATCCTCTGCACTCCTGTGCATGAAGGACAGACTTTTTAAGTTCAAAGTTTTTGTCCATCCATTGTGCCGTAAGACTTAATCATGCTAACGGGGCTAACACTTGTCCAAATGTCTTTGGTAAAACTCACCTAAGTGCTATCGGCTATTAGCTTCTCAACGACGTCGGAAATGACGGCTTGTAACTCGGGTAGGTCTAGGTCGGAAAAATATTTTTGACTGGTACGATGTAGCGAGGCTCAATGTAGTCCAAAAATCTTCGGAATCTAATATCATCGATGACAAAAAAAATAAATAAATCTGCACCACCGACATGTTGACTTCTTCCTCTCAACCGCGATCAGAACAGATAGGCGCACGTGACTTCATCACGTTGTGCTGGTGCTGCAGACATCCTTGTCACTGGGTTGTCATATAAAAACAGCGTCTTTTATATCGGTGGGTTATTTTGATGGAATGGCCTATGTCCGATATTTAACTTTAACGCTAATATCGGCCGATACCAATACCATGCCGATAATATCGTGCATCCCTGCTTTTTACTCATAGTATACTTTATAAAAACATAATTGATGAACATGTATATTTTGTGGGGAGATCAGCACAGTAGATCCAACATATTTTTGCTTGTGGGTTTCAAAACAGCCAAGACGTGCAACCCAAATATTCTTGCCAACACGCAAGTAAATAGAACCAGCTTGTTGACAACACAAACACATTGAACTTTTACTGTTTTTCTTCCATTTGTGATACTTTTTACTCCTTTTGTATTGATTACTGTAAAAATACTGTGGTAGAAATTATTTCTGAAGGTCATTGCAGGACCCCCAACACAGTTTTATGACTCAAAGTAGAGCCCAGAAACCAACATCGAGAACAACAGGAGCAGTGTGTCATTTACAACATCACATCCTCACTAAAGCAAGTGGACATTCCAGACTCATAAAAAATAAGCATTAATCTCTCATTCAGATTTACACAATATTAAACAAATATACTACTTCAATCAAATTCAGTCATCCAGAGGGGGGGAAAAATATCCCCACAGCCTTTTACCTGGTTGGACATTAGACTGGTTGGAGACCTGACATTGTTATAAGTAACTGGAAAAAATGAAGTGATATGGTCATTTATAGGGCATTTAATAGATTTTAAAAAAGTGCTGGAGTAGGCAAAAGAAAGGGACCGTGCAGATAGTGTGGTGAAACTAAAATGCATCTTTAATCAGGTAATTATAGAATGTAATTTGGAATCATTTTAAAGGTAATCTATGACATGGCTCAAAGGGACTGCGGTATAAAAGTGCTGTTAAAAAATAGAAAAAAGATGAAGTCTTTCAGTTACTGAGTGGGCTGCTGACCAATCCAAAACAAGCAGGTGGTTGCTGACACAAGCAATCTCAAAGTAAAACAATAAATAATTTGCATTTATTATTTTGTCTTACCTTTTTCCCACCCTGCTTTTCCACCATGTCGGAGTTGAGTGGGAAGTGGTCCAGTTGGGGGGTTTTAGAACCCCCACCTTTGGGCATCGTTCAGCTCTCCCCACGCCAAGCTTCATTCACGCTGCCATTGCATCGTCATCAACCGTCTGCAACAGAGGAAAAAAAACAAAAACGGAGTGAAGTTGGCGCCTGGACACTTTGTTTTCTTGAAACTGTCAAGATAATGTAACTAAAAGTAGAACATCAAGAACTCATTTTTAAACAATTGTACTTTTACTATGGTAGCCAAAAGGTTACAAAGTTTTATAGATAGAACTCGCACAGTAAACAAGTTAATTTTATCACAAAACAAGTTTTGGGGAAAAAAGAATAGTACAAGAAGAAGTCAAAGGTCAGCGAGTCAGAGTTTCTTTATTTGTCATTTGCGCCACATGTGGTACATGTGTTGGAACGAAATTGTGTACACGGGTCCCAGTTACATTCAACAATAAAATGTAAAGAAAAACAGTAATAAGATCTAAAATATGAATAAAAAAAAACTTTAACTACAAATATGATAAGCACTAAAAGCATAAAAACAATACGTCGCACAACCATGAGTCTGTGAGCAGATGAAGGAACACAGCAACATGAAACAGATCAGCAGCAACATGAAACGGATCAGCAGCAACATGATGTGATTTTTCCACAGTGATTATTCTGGTTAGAGATTCATGAGTCTACCAGCCTCAGGGTAGAAGCTGTTCCTCAGTCTAGTCGTTCTACACTTAATGCTCCTTAACCTCCTTCATGAGTGGAGCGTGGGAAAAAAGTGTGTGTGCTGGGTGAGTGGGGTCCTTCATGGTGCAGAACAAAAGAGGTGAGTGATAGATCCAGTATAGCCAATACATTGTGCACAGACCATCGTGTAATATCTTAAATGAATATATAGCAACTGTAGAGTATACATTTTAACAGTATTTTTTCTGCCGCCTGTTTCTATTTCTCTAAGAGTTCATCATTTCCAACAAAATGACTCTTATTGTTGTCTCCAATGCCCCCATGACAGACTTCTGTCATCTGTAAAAGTGAAAGAGAGGGGGGAAAAAACATGTTTTCAACCGTCTCGATTCGGGCGGGACCGTCTTTGGTTTTACCTCCTCTGTTCCGCGTCCCACAAGAGGAGGAGCAGTACACCCAAATGTCCCAAATCTGACAAGAGCAGGCTGGGCTCACCTGTTCATGCCGTGTCTGTGTGGGAGGAGGGACATAGAGGCTTCACGGGCTTCCTGTAACAGCAGGAGTCAGGATACTGCAATAAACCTCTATTGGTTGTAAAGTTCAACTTTTCAGCTTTCAAGTTCAAGTTCAAGTATGTTTTATTATCATTTGCATCACATGTGGTACATGAGGGGGAACGAAATTATGTACACAGGGTTCCAGTTACATCAAACAATAGCAAAAATATACATGGTAAAAAGAAACTGTAATAAGGATCTAAGATATAAACTAAGAAATATGCTAAACTAAGAAATACACTAAACACTTAGTAGTGCAAAACAATATGCCGAACAACATTAGCACGAACATGAGTCAGAAACTGTTTAAATTTTTTGATAGCACAAACGATCCCAAAGTTACAGTAACGCAAAGTGAGTTAGAAAAAAACTAAAAAAAAACGTAATCGGCAACACACTCGTAATAAAAAACACAAATTTTGTTGTTAAAGTTCAGGTATTCTATATTTACTCAGCGTCGTCGTCATCATACAGACGTGTGCAACTGGCATGCGTTACCAAACTTCTGGTCTTCAAAGTAAACGGCGGTGCCGCAAGAGCTTGTTCAGCCCGAGTATCTCTCACAGTGAGAGAGGTGGCTGTGTTTCCTGATTTAGTTCTTCTAATTAAACAATAATAATACTAAAAGATTTATGAAAGATTTATGTCCCAAGTTAAATAAAAAATGTGTGTTTCTGTTTAACTTTAATTTTCCCCCCAAACTCTAAAAGGTAGTTTCTGGTTTGTGTAGTTTATCATAAATTCTACACAGTGTTACCCTGCCCTACCTTAGATAAATAATGTTACTCATTGAGTTTTTATGTATTTGAATGTTTCTGTTCAGTGCCCTGAGATAAGTTCTGTTGTGACTTGGTGCTATATAAATAAACTGAATTGAATTGACTTGTTTTAACAATAACAAGGTGTTTTGGCTGTTTGGATGTGCTAAACTTGATTAAATTTAGAAATTTGGCAGTTTTAAATGACTACATGAGCTGAAACCCTGTAGATATAATCCCTTTGAATGAAACAATAATTTAGGGGAGAAATCTGTCAAACTCCGCACAGAACTTCCTGTGATATATATATATATATATATATATATATATATATATATATATAT